CAGCAGCAGCAGCAGCAGCAGACCATGCATCAGCAGTAGATTCTCATGCAGCAGCAGCTACTTGGGTTTATGCAGCATGTTGTGATAGCTATTGGGGCTCCACCGCCACAGCCTTTGCCCCAGCTTGGTCAGACTGCCACCACTTCTATGACTCCAGCGTTACAGCCTAGTGGGCTTCAGAGTTAGGGACAGCCACCAGCATAGTTTGCTTCACCTATAGAGCAGGTGACCTAGTGGTTTGCCTCGCTCGTGGTAGCCCCGCAGTTCACACCTCTTCATACGGGCTTCACACCGGCTGAGACGTCCTCGCCGCTAGTGCCAGAGACTATAGTGTCCAGGAGCCTTGGTGCTTCCTTCAGTGAGTTGACAGGGCAGCCTACTCCCCCATATCTATATGTCCCAGGTCCTTCTACAGTTGCACCTATTACCGGGACTATAGAGATGCTCCCTTCCTCAGTGGCATCATCAGAGCCGGCTGCTACAATCATACCAGCACAGCCTACAGCAGCTCTAGTCCCTGATCTGACCCAGACTGCTTCAGCATCACTTCTAGCTACAGAGGGTCAGACAGCTCAGAGCTCAGGATCAGATGACGATGGCACGTAGTTCTAGCTCGCTCCTCGTACCTCAACGCCCGGCTCATCCGCTGTAGCCCCGCCGACTGACCCTTAGGTTTTGGTGTTTGACGTCAAAGGGGGAGAGAGATCGAGTATGTTAGACTTAGGGGGAGCGACATATCTAGGGGGAGCTTAGTTTATCTATTAGCTTATCTATTACATTTGGAGTTTTTATGTGTGATACACTATTATACATTCGTCGTGTGTTTACTTTTTATGCATCAAACTATATTTATGTGATAGTGATATCTACATGATCGTGATATATGACATGTGTGCTCTCTATTTTGAATCATTTATATGTCATATCACTTGTGTTGTGCTTATTTGCTTTTGCTTCCGCGTTTTACTCCGATGCAAATGAGCTTTATTACTTGTACTCATGCTTATTTCATATCTTTTGAGTACATCATGTTGGCTTGGGTCATATAAGCTTGCCTAACACTTTTGTTCTTATTGCCAAAAGCTTATATGAACCAAGCATATTAAAAACCTCATCTCTTTCATATACTCGAGGTGGTATTGTAATCAATCACCAAAAAGGGGGAGATTGAAAGCATCTAGGCCCCTAGTTGGGTTTCGGTGATTAATGGCAATACGTGATTACTATGACTGACGTGTATTTTGCAGAGGCAATTAAGTTAGGTCATGGTAATGGAGATTGATTGGGCAATCATGGTGGTCATGCCCCTACGATGGAATTCGTTTCGGTTTTCAAAGGATGGACAACAAGGTTAAGGATGGACTAGTTCTAAGTGTCGTTTGGAGTTGAAGAGACACTTAGAGTAGTTTAGGACTTTGTTTTTCCTTTGGCCGTACTATTAAGGGGGGTATAGACAGGTAGCTTGACATAGGTGAGTCTAGTGAGTTAGGTGTGGTGCACACTTGTTAAAACTAGCACTAGGTAGCTCCAAAATAGCCCTTAGATCCAATGGAGCAAACTTCATTCACATATGATCGAGAGTTGAAAGTGAATGGAGGGTCAACATCGACCGGACGTACTGGCTCCGGGTGACCGGACGCTAGCTCGAGTCCAAATCCATTCATTTGACCAAGGTGTTTTCGCCTGCACGACCGGACTGGGACGAGAGATGAAGTGATCGGACGCTGAGAGCCAGCGTTTGGTCGACTCCAGTAAGGTTCCAGAGAGGGAAAATCACGACCGGACGCGTCCGGTCACACTTTAAACACTGGAGTTCGAGGTGAACTGATCCGTGCGTCCGGTCAACATGACCGAGCGTCCGATCACCCTGCAGAGAGGCACATAACATAACGTTCGTTTTTCAGCCGGTGTTATAAATATCACCTCCACTGTATGTGGGGGTACTTTTGCTCATTCCAACAAAGTGAGAAACACCTTTGAGAGTGCCAAGAAGAGCAAGGTCCTAGTGAGGTGTTTGAGATTTGAGAATCCCAAAGAGAGCCCTCATTAGTGAGATCAAGAGTACCAAAATGTGCATCCATCCTTCTCATTAGGCTTGTCGTGGTCAAGTGAGAGTCCGTGCTTGTTACTCTTGGTGATCGCCATCACCTAGACGGCTTGGTGATGATTGGGAGCTTGGTGATCATCTGAAGAGCTTGTGGATAACCCAACTCAAGTTGTGAGCGGTTGTGGGTGATTCACCACGATAGAGTATCAAAGAATCAACCCGTAGAGAGCACTTGATCCTTGTGCGGATCAAGGGGGAGCTACACCCTTGCGCGGGTGCTCCAACGAGGACTAGTGAGGAGTGACGACTCTCCGATACCTTGGCAAAACATCGCCGCGTTCCTCCTCTCTTTATTTTGAGCATTTATTTTTGAGCAATTCAATTCTTGTCATTTACATTCCTAGAATTGCCATGCTAGAGTAGGATTGGAACATAGGTTGCTAAACTTTTGTGCGTTAGATCAATAGAAACACTTTCTAGGCACAAAGGGGTTAATTGGGCTACCCGTAGGATTTAATTATTGCAAAAAAATTTAGAATTAGCCCAATTTACCCTCCCCTCTTGGATAGCTTGATCCTTTCAACGCGGCAACGGCAGCGGTGGCGTCGGTGTCGGCCAAGGCCGATGGGGCGTTGGTCGAGCGCGGCCTGCGGCGGCCTGAGGACGCGGAGGCCACGCGGCGGAGCGCACCGCCGGCCGTCCAGTAGCGGCGTCAGGCGCGGTAGAGGTGGCGCGCCTGACGCACGTTGTAGTTGTTGAAGTAGCAGAACTTGGTCTCCCGGCTGCCGCATCGCGGGCACGGCAGCGGCTCGCTGCCGCCGATGCCCCCGGCGGCCACGGGCGCCTGCTGTAGGGGCAGAGGCGGCTGCGGCGGGGATGGAGGCGGGGGAGGAGGAAGGACCGTCGCCGTCGTCGGCAGAGGCGGCGGAGGGGCGGCGCCCTCGTCCACAGCGCAGTGATGCGCGTCGGGGTGGAGGTCGGAGCAGGAGGCGGGGCCCAAGGTGGGTAGGGGACGCCGGCCGACACCAGGTTTTATACGGGTTTTATCCCTCCCGTGCGGACGTCTACGTGGCAATAACGCCAGCATGACGGGTCAAAACCAGGTACGCGTCGGCATGAAACAGCCATAACCGTGTCTAGATGCCAAGAGTGAACGATTTTCAAACTTGAGGTTTTCCTGAACCAGACGGTTTTGTAGTTAGAGGTTAAAATTATACCAACATAATAATTGAGGGGCTAAAAGTGTACCTAATCCATCATTATAAAGCACACAACTCTACCGAAAGAACACGTGCGATAAAAGATTTATATGCGGTCCGTGCACGCACCTGTGCCCAGAAAAATGGCAAAGATCGATGGACTGCAGAACCTGTCGACCTCACTTTCCAGTTTCTTACACGGGGATAATGGGGTGCCTTTCAGGCCAGGGTGATCATCTGCTTCTAAAGTGCTAGCAAGATGAACCTGACCATGCGGTAACAGTCAGTGGCGACCCTGCAACACTCGTCGCTCTAACTACAGAACTTCCACGAGGATAATTCAAATACAATGTACTTGGTTACCACTGATGACGCAAAACGTGACGGCATGGATGAGCAAATGTAAAAGCTTTGGCTCTGGATTTTCTGGGTTAGATCTGACGAGCAGGTAAATTCTTTTAAAAGAACATTGCAGATACATTAATGTAATTAATAAATTTCCTCACCCAGTCACCCATACGGCAACATGGGCAGACGACATCGGAACAGATAAAAGACCAATTCACCACAGTGTGCCCTTAGGTACCAGCTGTTATCTGTCACCAAGAAGGCGAGACATGTATGGGCAACCTGGTTCAGAGGCTGTATGCCCCGGGCTTGCGGCTAACGTTAACAGCCATGGACTAAGATTGTTTCTTTCTACCAATCCGCTCATTGCTCCAAGCAACGTCCACAAAAGAGGGTGGTAATAGAGCAAGAACTGATGCAGATAAGGCAACTTATATCGACGATGCAGCAGATGCCTGCTCAGAAGTGTCATCCTGTCAGAACCACATGAAATCATTATTAGAGTTGAGTTATGCAGATAACTTTAAATAAGGGTAACTCTTCAAATGTTATTGCAGTGGAAGCAAATGCAGGAAACAGAACATTCAAATGGCGATCAACTAAAGCTATATCCTGAACCAGCCTGTGTTAGTTAACTAAAACGAGCTGCAGCTTTGCACATTCAGATATACACTTCAAGTGAAGAAGACTTAGTTCCAAGAATAGTCTGCGTGTTAAGTAGCTTATATTTCATTTCAGATGTGCAAACATGCAGTTTAAAACGATTTATCAAGAAATCAGTTTGTGTAGGTCCAAGTATGGGGTCCTGATAGAACTAAATAGCCTAGAAAACAAAAGGAAGTTTACTAAAAGCTCCAAGCAAAATAACAACTGCAGAGAATATTTAGTGTTACATAGTGTGTCCCACACTAATGCAAAAATAAAGTATCAGATGAAGGGCCACTATGTCTATAGATACTTTTGCCTTCGGTGCATACACCACAATAAAATCTAGCATAATGTCTATTTAGGCATGCAAGCACCTAATGTTAATTGGAAATAACAAAGCAATCTTGAGAAATAAGGTGTGCAGAACACTAGTGGCTGTTATAAATCCAACAGGTCAGTATAAATGATATGCGCTTCAACACAACAAAATTAAAAGTGAATAGTGCACACGGGAAAGTTAAAAGATTATTATAAACCTGACACAGTACTCTGGATTACTTACTGTACAATTGTAGCCTTCACTGTTATCTCAATCATAGCTTGGGCCATATGTGGCTACAGGTGGCCCATATGAGTATCTCCATTGATCACATGCTGAGCATTTGTCAAGCTTAGTGCTGTTCTCTAGAGTACAAAATTTACAAGACCAAGTCATGTACTTCGCCTTTGCAATTTTGGGTTTTGTGGTACCACAAACTTCACAGATTGGTGCCAGAGGCTGCAGAGGTTCAGATTTTGTAATGTGTTAGAGAAAAGCATGCTAATAACTATAAGTAAAATGTGTAGTAGAAAAAAAAATATGGAAGAAGTGAAGACTAGATGTAAGACCAAACCACAAGTATATATACCACAGAATGAGAAAAGAAGTATAGTTAGGCAAGCAAATGTGACTACAAGGTAATGTTTTTCTGGGACAAAAGAAACTTTCAACACTTTGCAAGGATGGAACTATGTTGGTGATTTTGGTAGCTTAAATTGGAATTTGGCTTATGACAGTCAAATTAAATATAGGTGATGACCAGTACACTAGGCTGCTAGCTATAAGTCATGAAACCTGAAGATAGAAACTCTCTGCATAAATCACAAACAGCAGGTTTCCCAAAACTAAACACTTAAACAGGCATACAGTTATCATGCAGTTCAATACTAGGCCGAGTATGCTACTATTATGAGTGGAGTTATACATTACAGGAAATGCCAAACATTTTGATAATTCCATGATGTGACTAGCAAATTACTATAAGCTCAAGAAAAATGAGAAAATATAGGAGGAACTTGCAGTAATAACAAGAAAGGTACCAAAAACTACATGTTAGGGGCTTGTTTGGCAGGGGTAGTAATGTTAATTCATCCTTTCTGGCCTCATTCAAGGATCTGGAGCTAACCTGCCAGACAAACACCCACACGGACAGAGTGGCTCTACAGATAGAGTTGTAGAGCTGTGGAGCTGTAACCTGTAGAACAAAGCTGAAACTCTAGCTCTAGAGCCCTGCCAAACAGGCCCTAGAGCTGTACATCCATAACCCTCACCAACTGAGCTTGGCTCAGAACTTATCAACAAGCACCACAATAAATACACATCTGAAGCTCAGACATGCATACTCTAATCTAAACAAGCATTTAATTAAGATTCTACAGGCTTATCATGTTCAGCATATGCATATGTATTAATGAAATGGATGAATTTCAAAGATAAATTTAAATGGATCAGAATGAAAAAGATTGTTTGTCCTACTATAACATCTAAGAGATTTCTCCTATAAATTTTCTATATAGAGTAAAAAAAATGAGCCATAATCCATGAATAAACTCACAGTTTTGTAGGTGAAATGGATATTTTAATTCGGCACTTTGAAAACTTGCCTGGTTCAGAAGAGTGCAAGCACCACATTCCCACTTTGAACTATCCAGTGCATCACTTGTTGTCCTATCATCTCGTGCTGCTCTATGAATTCCAGAAGAAGTGCTGGGCTCTGCAAAAGTGTTGGAGCAGCTACCCTTCGAGTTTTTTCCATCCCTTGTCACCAAATTTGGTGATTCTTGAAGAATAATAACATCATCCGAATCATCAATACCAGATTGATCATGCGATCCACACCACAAATCATCATACATTCTCCTTTCAGCCGCCATTGCAGCAGCTTGTACTGGACTAAGTGCACTCATAATTTCACTATTTCCACCCAACTTTCTTGGTCCAGAAGGCAATAGAGCTCCATTCCTTGCCCGCTTCTGTGCAGCAGCTAACGTAGCTTGCCGCAGAGATGGTGGTGGTGGATGTACTGTAAATCCACCTACTCGCCTTCCTGTACCATCAAACCCTTGTCCTGTTCCAGTGATACCCTTTGAAACAAGTTCTTCGCATTCCTGAAAGATTTATCATAAACAACAGAAGGATCATTATTAAAAAAATATGGCACCACATGAGAAAAACTGAAATTGCATTCAAGAGCACAAAACTGACACAAAGAAAATGACAAATGACAGAACTAGATGTGCTTGGTCACAAATAAGGTACAAAGATACAGCAAAGCTCACTCAAGTACAATAAAAATTACAGATTCACTACCTCAATCTTACGTGTCACCAAATATAAACTTGAGTTAAGATCAATTTAGTAATAGAAACCGTGGTCCTGAAACATAACAGGATTTTCATTTGTTTTTTGTAAGGATTTCAACAGAAGTAAAACTCCATTCCAAAGACCTTGCCAATTGCCACAACTTTTCCCCAAATATAGTCCAGTGTCCTTACTACATCTTCATTCTGATTTGAATACCCTCATTTCGCGTTATTGTTTGGCAAACACAGGTAAAGCTCTTCTCTTCTCCCCACTCCACTCCCAACATCTCCAGAGTTTATAAACCATTACGAAGTAAAATAATAGTCGTATGTCTATGATACAAGTGGGGTAATAATCATATGGATTGATAGAGACAAAGATGTTCCCATTGAATTAAGTTTGGATGTTGCACAGAAAAAAAAAAACAAGTTCCATCTATTTTAGTTTTTTATAACCATAGTAGGACATCCAATCAAATATCAATCTAGGTTAGATGTACTAGAACTAAAAATCACTTTAAATTTCTAAGTACAGCATCATTACAAATAATCATAATCCTTTTAAGAGGAGGAAAATTTTGACATGTGCAACAATGAATCATTCAATCAGGGTGAACATTGTCTTGGGATAGTTTAAACCAGAGCAATACATTCACTTGTGCGCATATGCAAAAACCATTCCATGCCAATATATAAAGCCACCAGTATCCCACATTGTGTAAGCAGCAGCACAAAAGCACAGAGCAGCCGACGCACCTTGCGGAGCTTGTAGAACTGCGCATCGTGGGGCCCGCGCTGGTTGTGGCAGAGCTCGTGTAGCATGGTGTCGAGCACCTCCTCGTAGGGGATGAAGTCATGGTCGCGGCCGGAGCGCCGCAGCCGCAGCTTGACCTCGACGCCCGCGCGCCGACATTGAGCCCCAGCAGCCTCGGGTTCCGCGGCCTGATCAATCACAACACCACCCCCCCGGCACGCACGGGGTCCATCAATCGGGGTCGGAGGCGGAGAAGGGAGGTTAGGGTTAGGGTTCGTGTGGGACGCTTACGAGAACTCGGAGAGGACCTTGACGCGCCACTTGTGGCGGCGCATGATGGGCTGGACCTGCCTGGCGACGCGGTCGAGGGTCGCCCGGGCGGCGGCCGCGTCGGGCTTGGTCTTGAGCGCACGGACCTCCCACACCTTGTGCAGGTCGCCCACCTCCATCGCCCCCGCCGCCGCGGAATCGCCGATTACACGCCAACGCGGCGTGATTTCAAATGGGTTGGGGGGCTTTGGGGCGGATAGGCGAGCGGGCGGGAAGCTGGGCGACGTTTATGCAGAGCAGGGGGGGAGAGGCCGTGCGCAGGGCTGCACGGCTGCAGAGGCGGGATTCGATTGCGTTGGGGTTCGAGAGAATGGAGCAAGTTTTTGAGGTGGGGAAAGAGAAATCAGAGATGCAACTGTTTGGGATTTGTTTACACAGGTCACAGTACACGCAGAACCCTACGGATGCATTGTTTTTGAGAGAATTGTTTGGAGAAGCAAACCGTGGATTTTTAACGGAATTTTTATTGATGCGCACATTCTGTATTTCGTTTGTCTCGACGTCAGGACAAAGTTTGGTGTATCTTAAAAACTACTCCCTTCATCACAAGTTACAGGTTATTTTAACTTTCTTGTAGTGCTGAGGGACAATCTGATTCCTCGAACGGACGGTCCGACTCGAATATTCAGATAGTCGAAAAACTAATTAGACAGGCAATCTATGTATATCGACCAGCAACCTCCAGCTTAAGTACCTAAGTAGTACTGTCACCGTATTGTCTCTGTTTTCATTCCAAGTTATGTCTCAAGTGTTTCTACCTCATTCATGCATGCTCAGTGTAACTCATATGAATCATGTTTACTTATGTTACATTGCACTCATATAGGAACTGAAGCACCTGAGGAGACGAGACATTGAGCAGGAAGTTGAGTTCGTTGCCAAACTCGAACCAATTGAACCCCAAGTTGATCCTTAAGACAGGCTCCTAAGCATCATGTTTCATTTATTAAATTGCATAACTTGATTACGTTACTTAAGATGCATGTTTACGTATGTAGGCCTATAACCTATCATTTCACTCTTTGTTCATTAACGTACATTGGAGTGTTGGTTGATTGCTTTCTAAGCCGTAATCCATGCTTAGTTTGCTTTGACTAGTAGAGGGGGCATGCAATGGGTTTCTCACTTTTCACATGAGTTAGGAGTTGACTATTGTAGCCAATGAACAAATAGATGAGCATGATCTAAAAGATGACTAAAAAATGATTAATGTGACTGAGGCTTGGCAAGAGGCGGGGTCATGGTGAGCAGAGGCTTAGGCGACATGACTTAGTTGAGCTGGTTAAGGGTTGTTGCATTTGTTGTAGTGAGTCTTGAGGACGTCTCATGCATACCGTAAATCATGTATGAGCATGGTAAGCCGAGTATAGTGCTTGATTGGGTAATCCTATGGATTTGGTGTGATTTAAGGCGAGTGGTAGCTAGAAAACTAGTACTCCTGACTATCTCGATTGTTTGTTGCCTGACTTGGTCGGGTATAGGAAAGATTGAGGTAGTGAGTTACCCACTATAGACCTACGGGTCATATGGACGGTGACCCTAAACTCTTGTGGGTACAAACGTAAAGTTGTACACCCCTTTTTTAAGAGATGGTTTTTATCATCTCAAAATGTTGTGCTATTTTTCTTCAAAAAAAAATGTTATGCTCTTAGTTATGAGCAAGCTATTGACTTCTAGTCTCGAAGTAGACTTGTTGGTGCAAAACGTAGCCACCCATTCTAGGCTTTTTTTATCCTTTCATCTCACTTTGATGTGAATGATAGTAAACTTATCGTATCAATATACTTTCGCTTTGATGTGAATATTAACCGAGTATGCCCTTTTAACTAAGTGAGCTGCAGCTTAACTACTCACTTAAGTAAGAATCGGCTGTGAGCTATATAATGGAGTCATTATGCAATTGATCATATGAATTTTATGCGTACTGGATAGTACGGATGGCATGGCTCCAAAGATGACCGAATTAGTCATATTAAATTAAGTACAGTGATACAGTGAATAGATAACAGATCGATTTTAGTATGATTGATCGGAGGGTCCTTGCACATAAACTCTAGTGCATCGAGTATATTTTGTTTGAACTCGTGAATCGAGTATTCTTGTTTGAAACCCAACCTAAAGTGACACACATAGAAGGTATGACTATGCGAAGAAAGAAGAAGATGAAGTCGCAAATAAAAGGGACGTATCCCTCCTCCATTTCAAAAAAGAATGACATTCTAGCTTTGTCATAAGTAAACCATCTAAGATTTAATCAAATTTATTAAAAATACCAATATTTATATTACTAAATAAGTGTTACTAAAAAAACACCAATATTTACATTACTAAATATATGCATCGTTTCACCTACTTATATATCATAAACATTAATAAACCTTTTTTTATGAACTAGACAGAATAAATTTAGATAATTTGGCTTAAAACGAAACTAATGTATCATATTTTTTTAAACGGTGGTACTAGCTATAGCATGGGAACTAGGAAGACAGACAGTGCATTTCGCGAAGTAGTGGATTGACAGGAGTAGTGGGTGACCAAAGAACTCAACTGTTCATCGTAGAAATATAGAATTATTGTGTGTGCAAAATTTATGTAGCCGTCCTAGCTCAGTCGGTAGAGCGCACGGCTTTTAACCGTGTGGTCGGGGGGGTCCGAATCCCATGGACGGCGTTTGAGTTTTTTTTTCTTTTGTCCTTCACAGAAAACATCTCATAGGAAATGAAAAACTTGATTTCTTTTGTCCTTCACAGTCCCACGGACGGCGTTTGGTTTCTGTTTTTGATTTTTTTTTTCTTTTGACCTTCACAGAAAACATCTCATAGGAAATGAAAAACTTGATTTCTTTTGTCCTTCACAGAAAACAACTCATAGGAAATGAAAGCTTGATTGATTACCCTACAACTTTTCTTTTGCCCTTCACAGAAAACCAGCGCGTTCGGATGGTGTGCTCAACAGTAGATTTCGGTTGGTTTTGGATAATTGAATAGTATTCTGTGAGAGAGAATAAGCTGAAACAAACCAAGACTATACCAGCCGAAGTGCCGAACGCGCTGAACATCTCATAGGAAATGAAAACTTGATTTTTTTTTTTACTAAATGAAAACTTGATTGATTACCCTACAACTTTGTTGGTTTGACTGCATTGTCTGCACACTTGCACAGGCTTTCGCGCCTGTGAGTCGACGCTGCACTGCTTTGAGTGCTCTGTGCTTTCTCCCCAGAAGAACCGTCGACTGCCAGCATTGCCTTCTCCGCAAGAAACATGTAGATTGCCTCCTCCCCAACGGCATGTACAGTAGAGAGACAGCTGCGGTCTGTAAAATTTACAACATAGATGGTTGAACAGATAGTTCGTACAACCCACAGACAGTTGATGTCTATTTGGCTGTCCATAAACCGTTTAATGCTTGCATGTTGCCATAATCACTTATGAATATCAATCATATATACCATTGTGTTGCTAATTAGTGCAAAACAAATCTTTCAAAATAAATCATATATATTATATATATAATGTAATATAATATAATATATTTCATCATAAATCAAATATAACATGCGTCTTCTTCCTCATCATAAACCAAATATAGCATCTAGAGATGGATGGTTCACATGTTGCCTGTATAGGGTACGTATAATTGTATTCCAGGTGTATTTCTTCTTTTGTTTTTCTATAGGAAAACGGCAAGGTGACATGGGTGTGACCTTGCTCGTCCATTAAACAGCACGGCAGGCACAGAGCACACAGCAATGATCAGTATTTTTCAGAAATCTAACTGGTTGCAAGAACAAAGAAAAATATTCTGCCACTAACACCAAGAATCACAAGAAGTTCTCCAACAGAATCGTTTTGAGACAGCAAAAAATATTGATATTAGAACTGACAGGGGAATAACAATTCATATCTCGTCAGAACAGTTCTTTTCGTCAGAACAGATCTTCACAAGGAACAAAACAACAAGATTGATGACTATAGAACTCGCTGGTGGAGGAAGCCGTAGTCAGATCGACCATCTGCTCATGCGCCGTTGCTGCCTCATGGTCGCTGCAGATTTGGGGAGGGAAGGAGCTGCTGTTGCGAATCGACAGGGCAATGGAGAAGAACTCGCGCGCGCGGAGCAAGAGGAACTCGTGCCAAGTTTGGCCGCAGGTAGATCCCCACGCGCGACGCTAGGAGACGACGTCCCGTACAACGGCGCTTCTGCCGTCGCGTTAGCCTCGGAGCACTCGCCGCTGCCGTCGCCTCACGAGAGGACGGCTTCCCTTTCTCGCTTCATTAAATGCCACCGAAGGGGGTGTTTTTTGCAAATATACATCTCTACAGACGGCACTCCGACGTCCGTTGTACGTGCCCTGAGAATAACCTCTCCATTCGATCTCACCCTTTCCCAAGAAAACATATAGACTGGAATTTTTGGTGTAAATAACTACTAGTCCATCACCCGTCGCGTAAGTCGGCAAATCACCTAGTTAAAGCGCTGATAAAAAATATGTGTTCAATCTTTGCATAGAAATAATTGCCCTATTTATCTGGCTGATAAGCCATAGCTGAAAGTACTGTTGGCTGATTTATTGCGAGAGAAAAATAATATTCGTTGGCTGAAAAAGTACGGCTTATAAGCCAAGCGAACAGGGCGAAAATTAGGGGAAGCCCTCGCTCGCGTCGGTGATTCACCTGGTTAAGGCGCTGGTAAAAAATATATGTTCAATTTTTGCATGGAAATAATATTAGAGGAAGGAGTTTAACATAGATATATCATGCACAGAAACTGAAAGATTTAAGTTCTTTTTATATGGTGCAGGACACATGTACTCTGCATACTTTTCAGATCATGGTATTGTCTGTGCGTGGTAATCATAGACACAGCACTTTCAGATCATACACATATCTGAATTTTGCACTGGGATGGAGTCTATTATGAATTTATGAAATCTTGGAGAGTAACAATGCTCATACATTTAAGCAAATTTGAGTTCCATTCCAAAAGAAAACAAATCATAGCAGTGCAAAACATAAAAAAATAAAAACTCCACTCTAACCCAAGGGAAATAATCTTTGCTCTCACTCTTGCTATGCTTGCTCAAATTCCTGTACCTTCTGCCAACCATTCCAAAC